CAGATCCTGACCTAACCAGGTTGATCGAGATCTGCCAGATAGCAAGGCTCATAAATACACTGAATGCTACTATATCCTTTCTTCTTTTCTTTTAAGGGAGAAGATTATATACAAAATAGAAAAGAGAACATAGATTAGCTACCATGGCCAAGATATTATTAGGTACTTTACATAAACAACTTTTTATCCTCACAATAATCCTGGAGAGTAGGTGGTATTATCTATATATGGTAGACAGTGTGACTCAAATTTACAGAGATACTTACTCAGATCATGTAGCTGCTGATTGGTGCCTATTACTCCAAAGCTGATGGCTCTTCTACTACATCATGGCCTTTATATCACCTAGATCTGTTTTTCTGTTCTGGTTGGTATCTCCTTTGAGTAGGCTTAGGGCAACTGATATTGGCAGTATGTGTAGACACTGGCATTCGCATGAACAGTGGTGGAGGGAAAGCCAGGAGTGGTACTGATAACCTAGATGTGAATCAGTGGACATCTTATTTCTCAGTCAGAGCGCTGGCCTACCAGCAGCACGATGGAACTTAAACAGGGAGTCCAGAAACCTGGCTCCAGTTCTAGTTCTGCCTCTGTTAAACTTTGATATTTGAGCTAGTCATTTCTCCTTCCCAGGAATCCATTTCCTCAACCGTAGACAGAAATGGTCCCTTAAACTCTGATTCCCATGCTTCCCACCTGGCCACTTGACAACTTCAGAAAACCTATTTCCCCCATTTTTATGGGGGTTAGCAAGAGCACGCACTCAGGCCGATTGCCAGTTTCCTATAAAGCCAGCCTTCATGAGCTCTAGCAGGCTTTAACGGGGAGAGCTGTAATGGTGAGTCAATCTCCCCCTGTCTCTCTAGGGTACTGCCTTCTGAAGTCGAGGTGTTAGAGTCTATCTATCTGGATGAACTACAGGTGGTTAAAGGAAACAGCAGGTACGTATTCGACTAGACGTGGCAGGAGTCCTCTTACTGATGAGAGGATTCCATGCAGAATCCCTGAGCTTTGATTCAGAGAAAATGTTCTCATGGAGACCAAGACAACTCGTTTAATCGCCCCCAAAAGAAAGCGTCCAGTGCTCACTTCCTGCACCCGCTTTACTGTCTCACTCCCATCTTCCCCCGTCCTCAAACTCCTGCCCAGTCACTTCCCCAACCCCAACTTCTTCTACCTGCAGATCCTCACCGTGGGAGATCTTCATCACCTTGCACCCTGCCACCGCAGAAGACCAGGATTCACAGTATGTGTGCTTCACTCTGGTGCTTCGGGTCCCGGCACAGGTGAGGCCCCGGCTTTAGGGCAGCAAAGCAAGGAAGGGGAGAAGCCCTGCGGTGGGTACTTTAGCAGTAACCTTATCTCCTCCCGCTAGTACCCCAATGAGGTGCCACAGATCTCTATCCGTAACCCCCGAGGACTCTCAGATGAACAGATCCAAAAGTAAGTTGGGCTGGACAGAGCAGGGAAAACGGGATACAGCTCAGTCTGGTGAGAGGAGGGGGCAGGCCTAATGCGTGCTTTGCCCTTTTCCAGGATTTCACAGGCACTGAGCCAGGTGGCCAATGCTGGGCTGGGTACTGCCATGCTCTATGAACTCATCGAGGTAAGAGGTGTGCTAGCTCTGGAAGCTGCAAGAGCTGTTTCTTTCAAGGGAGGTAGTGGGCCCAGAATCTTACGTACATATGGGGTCATTCATTGTTAGTCCTTGTTGAGGTGAGGCCTAAATTCAGAAAGAGATTTTCTTCTGTAAGAATTCCCCCCAACGACAGTTCTGTAGCTTCCCCAAGTGGTCTATGCTTATGATTTTGCCTCTTTTACTTGGATTTTTCTTGATTCCATTTCAGTGCATTCTTTTGGCAATGGCATCCGAAAGTAGCCAGAGATAGGGACCTTGCTTAGAGGGTCTCACCAGGAATGAACATTTGAAGGCTAGCCTGCCTTTGGAGCGGACTAAAAAGTCCTGGTTCTTCTACTCAAGACTTTGTACCCTAATGAAGTTAACAACCCACAGGGACTTCCCCGAGCTACAAGTTCACGTACACAGATAACTTCTGTTGCTTGGGATTAAAAACACACAATTTAGTACAGTCTTGTTTTCCTCAGCTTTAAGTTTTGAAGAAGAATGTTCAGAAAAGAATGAAGGTGGGCGGTCTGGAGTCAGCGTGGGCTTAGACCACTGTAGTGCTCCTGAGGCCGGCTTCCACAATGCAGCGTGGAACTCTGTGGAATTCCAGAGTATGAGCTATTTAGACAGCCACGCCCATGAGTTAGTTCGTAGCCCAACAGGACACCTTTTGAGTTCTCTGTCTGTTGGGGCTGTCCATGCCTTGGCTTTTTCTGAAAGCTGGCTCTAAGAACAATTTTTTGGGGGGAAGTGATCATCAGAGGGGGTGAACCACAGAAGGTGTCCCAGAAGATAGGAGTGTCACCAGAACATCCTGTTCTGTCCAGGTCTGTTATTTTCATTCCTGAGATGTATTAAAGGTTATCGAATGAATTGGGAGATCAGTGGAGGTGAATTTTGCAGCTGGGTAGATAGGGCAGGAGGGGCAGGGCCGTGGGGAATTGATTCCAGGCCCACGGAGCCTCACCCAGACAGAAAGGCATGAACGCTACCACACTACCTTGGTGGGAGACGGTCCCGCAGTCCATCCTGGGAATAAGTGACAAGCTTTGTGCACACAGTTCTTGCCCCTGCCTCCTTGTCTGAACAGTGTCTTCTCTCCTCCCAGAAGGGGAAGGAAATCCTCACAGACAACAACATCCCTCATGGCCAGTGCGTCATCTGCCTCTATGGTTTCCAGGTGGGGCTCGCTCTTGGGACCTGGGGTCAGCTCAGGACGGGCACTGGAGGGTTTGTGAAAGCTCTGAGGCCCTGCCCTATGCCTGTTCTCCCTTCAGGAGAAGGAGGCCTTTACCAAAACACCATGTTACCACTATTTCCACTGCCACTGCCTCGCCCGGTACATCCAGCACATGGAGCGTGAGCTACAGGTTCAAGGCCAGGAGCAGGAGCACGAGCGGCAGCATGCCGAGGCCAAGCAGGTCAGCACACCAGCCCCTGCACTCACCTGACCCCCCCCAAATCACATCCTTTCCTACCCCTCTGCTCCAGTGCCTCATCACCTTTTAGGGGTCACGGATATCTGAGGTTAGCGAAAGCTCACCTCTGTCCAGAGGAAAAGGGCATTCAGATATACACATGTACCCACTGCATGCAGTTTCAGAGTTCCCAGAGCTCTGCCTAGGGAGGCAGCCCCCACCCTGTCCTGCTTCACTGCTGAACAGAATGCCAGTGCCCTTCGTGCTTGCCCCATGCAGGTTAGGCTGGCTGATGGGTTGGGGCAGCTGGCGAGCACTGCGCGCTTTGAAGCAGGGCTGAGATTTCTCCTCTATTTTTAGAAGGCAGTCGGTGTGCAGTGTCCGGTGTGCAGGGAGCCCCTCGTGTATGATCTTGCCTCATTGAAAGCAGCCCCTGAGCCCCAACAGCCCATGGTAAGGGGATTCCCTTCTCATCTGAGCCAGGAATAGTGGTGTTCTCCAAGGAGGGAGGGATGGCATCTTGCTGGCCTTGAATGGGATCTCTGGAATTGGGCTGCTCCAGCGTGGGACCTTTCTGCAGAGATGCAGCGCTCTGCCCCAGGCTAAGGATCTGGGAGCCCAGATATGAGGGACAAACCCAGGAACCTCTTGCGGATCTCCTGACATGGTCCTGAAAGAGCAGGGTTCGAGTCTGCCTTCTGCTGCTTACTTTTCCCCCTGTTGTCCTACTCCCTTCCCTGCAGGAGCTATACCAGCCCAGCGCAGAGAGCTTGCGCCAACAGGAAGAGCGCAGGCGGCTCTACCAGAGGCAGCAGGAGCGGGGGGGCATCATTGACCTTGAGGCTGAGCGGAACCGGTACTTCATCAGCCTCCAGCAGGTGAGGGCAGGCTTTCCCACTCCTCCCTGACTGCTGCTGACCTTCCCACCGGCGCCCCTCTGCCCTGCTGGTCGCAGGGTGAGCTTTGTTCTGCCCTTGAGGTTATAGGCTGGTGGGGAAAGCCCCGGTAGTGAGCGAGGGGCCTGTGGTTCCCTGCTTTGGGGAACTGCATCTCCCTCACCACGTGTGCTCACTTCTTTCTAGCCTCCTGCCCCTGTGGAGCCCGAGTCAGCGGTAGAGGCCTCCAGAGGAGCCCATCCACCCAGCGCCCTTGCCACAGAACTGTCGGCCTCAGCAACTGCCCAACCCAACCCCGCAGCCCCTCTGCCTGTGGCCTCCCAGTACACGTGTGAGAAGATCCCAGGGGCTGGGCCAAATCAGCAAAGGTTGGGTGAAACCCAGAAAGCTATGCTAGATCCCCCCCGGGCCAGTCGAGGCCCCTGGAAACAGCCCGAACGGAGGCACCTAAAGGGAGGGGAGTGCCATGCCCACAAAGGTGCCAGTGACACCCAGGAACTGCCACTTCCCGAGGGGCCCCTCAAGGAGCCCATGGACCTAAAGCCAGAACCCTGTAGCCAAGGTCTTGAAGGTCCTCCCCAAGAGAAGGGCCCTGGCAACTGGCAGGGTCCCCCACCCCGCAGGACTCGGGACTGTGCTCGCTGGGAGCGTTCCAAGGGTCGGACGCCGGGTTCTTCCTACCCCCGCCTGCCTCGGGGTCGGGGAGCCTATCGTCCTGGCACTCGAAGGGAGCCCCTGAGCCTGGAGTCTGAGGATGGTTCCTAGCAGTACTGTGGGGGGCAGGGATGGGGGGGCAGGGGGACAATAAAGAGACTTGGCCTTGTTTGGCTCTCTTTACTTAGTAGTAGTGCCTAGCCTGTGCAGCATGGCTCTTTCTGAATTTCTAGCAAGACAAGTGTGGCAGGATAGCCTTGGCTTTCCTCTGAAGTCCCATTTTTCCCAAGAGCCCAGGGTCTGAATAAGAACGGGTCTGACATCTCAGTGAGTGTGGTAGAGTTCAGGAAAACTGGTAGAGGCCACATTTAAGCAAAATATGCGGGAACATAACATGCACACACACCCTTCGTATACATCCACATTTTTTAAAAAATTGAATGCATCTAAATGGAAGACTACACTTCCCTGTTTACCATAGTGTCTCTTCCAACTTGGCCTTAGCTTCTGTCCCCAGCACTTGCCTCTGTGGATGCCTGAGGGCCCCTGCTTTTTACTTAAGTACCCATCCAGGGAGGTTAGAAACCAGAGTGCTGTGGCAGGTGTTTATTGCTCCCAAGGGGGAGAGCCGAGCACAGCCTGTGCGTCATGTCCTCAGAGACTCAGCATTGTGAATCGCCCCTGCAGGGTCATTCTTATACAGCATGAAGTAGCCCTGTACCTGGGCGGGACTGATGTGAGTCGTAACCTGAAGGACACGTCCTGCAAAGGCCTCAGCCAAGGAAGGTGCTTGCCCTGGATAGAACCTCTGGAACATCTGGGTCAGCTGCCAGTGTGAACAGTAGCCCACATACTCCTTCATGTCTACTCGTCCGGGGCGTATCAGGGCAGGGTCCAGCCTAAGAGAACAAGGCAGCAAAGGCAGAGTCATAGACACAAATACCGCTGGGACCCCCCCAGAAATGACGGTTCAGGTGCTGAGGGGGTGCAGTCTTGCCTCACAGCCTCAGCGGGCCTCACCCCTCCTTACCTGTCAACATGGTTGGTAGTCATGAACACGATGCGGGCCTCCGTGGACGCCACGCCATCCAAGGCATTGAGCAGTCCGCTGAAGGTAAGGCGACCTAGACCTTGGTACTTGACTGGGTCTAGAGAGAGGCAGAGATAAAGCAGCGTGGCTGGTCATGACTTTGCTTAAACCCTCTACTCCCACCACATTCCCCGATGTATCAGTGCCTCTCGTGGACTCCTGCCAACCCCAGGCATCCTCAGTCAGCCCTCTTGATTTCCTTTTTCTTCCACTGCTCCTCACTTACTCCTATATGCTTAACCTTCCCCTTCCCTCAAAACTCCCCTCACTCACTCTCTGCAGCTAGGTCCCGGCTAAGAAAGGCTGCGTCCACGTCCTCCAGGAGCACCAGGCTCTGCTGCGGGGCCACACTCAGCAGGTGGTTGAGCCGGTCATCAGAGAGGCTGGAGTCCGTGAGGCTCAGCAGGCAGATGCTGTGCTCCAGTTCCCCCGCCAGGGCTGTGCTGTGGGGGATGGGAGGACAGGAGGTGGGCAACCTGGGGATCCATTCTCAGACCCAAATGCTTGTCCTCGCTGTCCTGGGTGGGTCTCAGAGACCTAACCCTTCTATCACGCGAACGCTTCTCATATCCCACATTTATCCTGTTCCCCAGTCCCCACATTCAAGTCCCTTTCCAACCCCACAGCCTTTTTTTTTTTTCCAGTTTACAGATTACAAGGAAATGTGACCCTACTCACATAAAACTGCTTTTTCCACAACCAGGGGGCCCATAAAGCAGGTAGCCACGTCTGTAGGGAATGCCTAGGAAACAGCCAAGAGGATCATCAAGACCTAAAATGAATTCCTGTACTCTACCCCAGATGTCCACATTCATTCCCAACCCTGCCCCCTGGTGGCCTGATGACCTTAGTGTGAAAAGAAATCACCCCCATGACAACTATTCTTTACCCTTGATCTCTGGGAAGTAGGCTAGAGCTTTATACTCGCCCTGTCTGGTCACAGAGACCAGCCTGTTTCCCCAGCTCTGACATCGCATCAAAAACACCCCAGCCAAGACCCCAGCTGCTGCTCACCTCTGTCAGTGTACCACTTGGGATTATCAATGAATTCCCGGACATCTCTGACAATTCGGTTGGCCAGACCCTGTTCTAGAACCACAGAATTCAGTGGCCGGCGGCGGCGTGGATAGCCAAAAGGACGCCACTCAGAGCCCATGGCTGTGTACATCACCGTCTTCCCTTCCTCCTGCTGCAAGGCCAGCTCTCGAGCTGGGAGAGAGAAGATGAGAGGAAGCCAGTAATTCCTCTTTGCCATGCAATTAGGCCAAGCTGTGCCAAAAGAGCTTCCCTCTTGGTCCCCTGGGCTCAGATCCAAGCTTCCCTTGCTCCAATGTCAAATGCCCCCATCCCTGCAACCCTCACAACAAAGCCAGCCCCTGCCATCCCACACCTTCCTCCAGGATGTTGAAGAAGACCTTTCGGTCAGTGCCCAGAGCTGTGAAGGTGACAGATTCCCAAGGGGTTCCTGTCTGCAGGTCTATCATCTGCATCTCTCGGCTTCGTTCCACTCGGATCCATTTCCCCTGATACCTGCATAAAAGTGATCCACGTGGGGTGAATGAATGAATGGGTCAAATCCAGCTCCCCTCATTCTCCTCTACTCTTGGAGCCCTCCCTGGTTCCCAAACTTACCAGATAAAGTGGTTTCCAGGGCTGGGGACAAATTCAAACTTGGTGGAGATGCGCCCACTCTCATGCTGAAGGTATGAAGTCTCAACACTGAGGTGCTGAGTACGGGTACTATGCTGGGTGAGCCAACTAAGCAACCAGGCGTAGCTTCGGTCTCGAGCAGGGACTTCCAGCGTGATCATGTAATGACGCCGGAATGCCACCAGGCCCAGCTGGGCACCCTTCCGGGCCAGGGCCAGGGCTGTGCCCACACCCACAAGCCCAAAGCCAGCCCCAAAGTAGGGATTGTCCTTTAGGGCGAGAATAAAGTCTGAGAGGGGCATCTTGAGAGGGAAACACTGAACTTACAGGCTCTGAGGCATTTTCAAAACCTGGGGGTGGGGGTAGTGGAAATGGGACAAAACACAAGATCAGTTTAGAAACCAGACTCTGCAATCCATCCTCACCCTTGTCCCCCCCTCCCCCAAAACCACTGCAGAAGCAGGGTGCAGGAAGGATAGGTGAGTGCTACTGTGTTTTCAATATTCTCTGTGGGGTGGAGGGAGGGGCTAGAAGGCAAGAGCCGACACTTCAGGCCCCTCTTTCCATTTTGCCCTTGATTATCCTGTTCGTATCTCATTTCCTGCCAGAGGACTAGGTCTGAAGATTGTTTAAACATGAGAAAGCAATGTAGTCAGTGTCTCATCAGGATGACGGAAAGAATTTTTGTGGTCCCTGGGAGTAGCTGAGATAGAAAGGAGCCCACTGGCCAGAATTAACAGGGAACGAAGAAGCTATTTTCTTCCACTGACCTGTCACTAATCTCATGCCTTATCACCATGATTAATGACCTTGAAATACCCTGTCCTTTACATGTTCAATTGTTAATGTCCTTTTTAGCCCTTTATTACCTCCCAACTAAACTGCCTCCTTAAGATTAATTTTAGTTCTTGAAATGTCATCTTAATGCTTCACCAAATTGCTACACAAGGACCCAGAACTTCCTTCCTAAATCTGCTTCAATCCTATTACTCTCCCTACTGCAACACCTCCAATGGCTGGCTCTCAACAGATCCCTGAATTAGGTCAAAATTCCTCTGCCCGGTACTCAACACCCTCCACAACACGGCGCCCACCTATCTTTCATAGCTTAGCGCCTAAAACTCCCTGTTGTACAAATACTCAAACCAGTTTGTTCTTGCTCAAGCAGGTGTCTTTACTCGGAACGCCCATTCTAATTGATTCCTTCCTTCTTTCCAATAGAAGACCTGTCCATCTGTTGCTTCCTCCATGGAGCTTTTCCCCCAACTCCCCCCAATAAAACGTGACCGAGTCTAATTCTAGATATCCCAAGAGACAGGAGGCTACGTTGTTTCTACACCTTCCTGGCCTCTGCACTTTGCGTAGGGCGCAGGGGGCACGCGTGGCGGTGAACTGACAGCCGAGACCACCGCCGAGGCTCAGAATAGAACCCAGAATGCCAAAATATCTATGCATGGAAGGCCTCAAACAAAGCGCTTCCCCATCCCGTCCCTTGTCGGACACCCAGAAGCCCCCTCCCGAACCCCCTTAACACCCCAGCTCGCGCCTCCGGCGGCGTGGTTTGGAGTAACCCGTCACTCCGCCCCCTTACCGCCATGACTCTCTGGCCCTCCCTCTCGATGGTTTCTGCCCCGCACAGTTGAGGGAAACGCCGCTCGGCCCCGCCCCCGCGTACCTTCACCTACTTCCCGCCACACCCACCCAGCGGGCCGTGCCACTCTGCCCCACAACTCTCGATGGTACTCCTTGGGCTTCTCGGTTGGAGAAAGGGGTAAGGGGAGACGCCAGAGAAAACCATAGAGTACCCCCGCCAGCCGACAAGGGGAAGAGAGAGCGGCCTCCATCAGCCCGAAGTCCTAGAGGCGGCTGGGCCGGAGGCGGTCGCACAAAGGGAGTCCCGGGAGGCCGCTCCAGCGGCTGGCGGACCATAGAGACGCGGCTCCCGCCCGCCCTGGGCCGGGAGGTGAGTGAGCGGCTGCCGGGCGGGAAGTAGGAGGGGGTACGTGTGGAGCGGGCCAGAGGCAAAAGTTTCTCGAGCCCCAGGATGAGAGTGGGCCTGGGCGGCGGGACTCCTCGGGAGGAGGTGCTGAACGGAGCACGCCGACGATCGGGGCCCCGGCGCATCACAGCAGCAGTCCCGGTGCCCCAGCCGCGTCACTGCTCTGGACCCCGCCCGACTATCCGCTGCCTCGCCTCTGGACAGTAATCATGACGATGCTCCATCCCAAGCTTTGCAGGTTACAAAACGGCCTTGCCATTTGCTGGCTCTTGTGATTCCCGCTCCCGCCCAACGATGTGGACGCTGTCATCACCTCCACTTTATAGATAGGAAAGCTGAGGCCCTGGGAAGCGAGGTGACTGTATCTGTCTGAGGCCACGCGGTGAGTCAGAGCCCAAAGGCAGGTGGAAACCCGGGTGCCTCGGGTCTCATTCTTTCCGCAGGCCCTCTCTCCACCTTAATTTGTCCTTTCTCTTCCTCAATGCCTCTTGTGACTACCTGTCTGCCACCTTACCCGCCTTCCAGCGGCTGAAGGTTCAGGTTCTCCATCTCGACGGATAGTCCTCCTTGGCTCCCCGCAGAGTGGTGATAATATTCAGTAAGTGGAAGCTATGGTTTCCAGAGAACCCTCTGACCGTGGAAGTGCACTTCCCAGCTACCTTCTGAATTCCCTGAGCCGAGGTTTTGAGTTGCAGAATTTTCACCAGCAACCTGGTTTCCTGGCCCTAAGCCCTCACTTGAGGGGCATGACTCAGTTTCATTCTTACACATTACTGTATACGTTACTAATACATTCTTATACATTACTAGTTATTCTTATACATTACTATCATTCTTATACATTACTAATTATTCGACTTCAGGTAACTTTGGCCCTGTATAACTGGATATGCAGTTTAGTTGCCGTTCATTTCTTGGTTATGTTCTAGTGTTTTCAATATGAGGCCATAGTTAATGAGTTTGATATTCCTCCAGGTGGGTTCCTTCATACCTAGAGAGGCACTGGTTTGTTATCCTTGTAGAAATCTAACTCTCCTCTGATGGAGCTCTGTGTCTACAGTTCTTCACTAGAATCTCGTCTGTCTGACTTACATAGATTGTTGTGGTTTGTGTTCAGTGAAGTGATAATGTCAGTCAGTTGTACTCAGAAAGCTCCATATCTAGGGAGGGAGACTGATAGGTCACAACGCTGCAGTGTGACAGTTTCCAACAGAGCTAGGTACAAGGTGCCAGTGGGACCCCAGAGAGAGTAACTTCTATGAACGGTGTCAAGAAGCCTTCATAGCCAAAGTGACATTGTGCAGATTCTTAAAGGACAGGCGTTGGTTAGCCAGATGAGAGAGATGGAGAAAGGGAAAAGGCCCATCACATGGAGAGGGAAAGGCATGTGTGAGTGTATGGGAGCAAAAGAGGATGCAGTGAGCTTGGGGAGTGGCAGCTCATTGATACGGCTGGGTCAGAGGTCTGTTAAGGGGCGAGGTGGAAGATGAGTCTGGAGAGGTCAGCCAGGCCAGATCCTGAAGGAAGGGCCTTACACCCATAGTAAGGAATAGTGAGATCATAGTATGTTAAGAGGGGAAGGGACCTCTGAGATCCCTTGGCCCCAGTTTTGTTGCACATAAGAAAACTGAGGCTCAGATTGCTTAATGATTTCACCAAGGTCACTTAGCTCCAAGAGATACAACCTTCACTTTTTAATATATTGGCCAAAACTTGTTGGCTCTCTCCTGATGCTGATTCCTATTAGCATCTGTCTAGTTTTTGTTCTGAACATTGTTATAAAAAGAAAACTTCTAGGTTAGCTAGGTGTGGCATGTTACCATCAAAGGAAATGCCTAAGTGGGCAGACACTGGGCCATGCCCCGGCATCAGCGGGGAGGAAGGTGAGATTTCTAACTCTGATTTGTTTGGATTCTCTTCCATAGGCTTACCAGCACATAAGGAGACCACAGAACACCAGTCAGTGGTGATGACAGACCCCGTGTTGGACTCACAGCCAACCAACAACACTGGGGAGATGGATGGACTATGCCCGGAGCTATTGCTGATCCCCCCATCTCTCTCTAACCGTGGAATCCTGGAGCCCGTCCAGAGTCCCTGTCCTGCTGGGAACCCCACACCTTTGCCTGCTGACCCAGGCTGCCTGCTGGTAGAGGCCACAGCAACTGAAGAGGACACAGGGAACATGGAGATCATTGTGGAAGCAGTGGCTGGAAACCTGTCCCCAGGTGCTCCTGGAGAGACCCCAGGTACCCACTCTGTTGCTAGCAGGCCACTGGGACAATCAGCCCTGAGGTTTTGTCTGTGCTATTTTTGACCCTTCTATATAAATATGATGAGAACACAAGGTAGCATCTTATTTTTATTCTTAGAGATGTTGTTATTTGATTTGCAGTTGGTGAATGTTGATTGAAGCCTGGCAAGGTGGTTCACAAGCTGGTACCAAGCTCTTGGCAGAGTCTGTTCCTACAAGGACTTCATGTCTGCTAGGCAGGGATCCAGATGGGAAGACCTTTCTGACACCTCCACCCAATCCTTACTCCTATAGTATATCGACCCTCCCACTCAGGAACTGCAGCCAGGGATTAGGCAAAAGGCCCAGTGTCTCTACCACCCTGGGCTTGGCAGGGCTTCCCAGAAGTAATCTGGTATTTCCTTGCCCTAGTTTCTTGTGTGTAACATATGTAACTCATCCAAGGCGTGTTGTCAGGAATGGGAGTTGAGCATTTATGTTTATGCTAGAAAAATGGTTCTCCCCTTTATTCTTCCTATAGCTACAACTTCTTATTTTTAGGTAACTTCCCCGTTTGTTAACTGCCATCCTCTGGCTACAGTTGTCACAACTTCCCTTGGCAGTGTGGTATGGTGACAACAAATCCTCGAAAAGATTAGCTAATTTGATCATAGAGTGTTTCTAATCTTCTGTGTGGGGAAGCAAATAATAAAGAACAAACATGGGAAAAACAGTTGCAATATATAAGGGAGAATTAAACTCTATTTTTTTGTAAATATTATTTATTTATCAGAGAGAGAGAGCAAGAGCAGAGCAGGAGGGTGGTGCAGAGAGAGAAGCTGGAAGCGGGAGCCTGATGTGGGGCTCCATCCCAAGACATGCAAGACCCCTGAGGCGGGGCTTCATCCCAAGATCATAACCTGAGCTAACCCAGGCACCCCGGGTTAATCTCTTTAAAATTCAGAGAGCTCCATAATAAGAAAAAGGGTGTTTTCGTTTTTTTTGAGAGGGAAGAAAAACCTACATGCAGTTAGTAAAGAAGAATAAAAGTAGTCAAAAACCATAAGAATGCTTAATCTCAGTAACACACAAATAAATTTCACTTAAAAATAACTATGAGGGGTGCTTGGCTGGCTCAGTTGGAAGAGCCTGTGACTCTTGATGTTAGGGTTGTGAGTTCAAGCCTCAGGATGGATGTAGAGATTACTAAAGAAAAAACAACAAAACCTTAAAAAAATAATAATTACTATGATATGCCATTGTTGTTTCTCAGTTTTGGCAAAAATTAAACATCTTTTATAATATCTAGTGCTGGTGGGAAAACAGATACTGTCTTACAGCTTACAGAGGGTATAAATTTAGCATAACCTTTTGAAGGTCAATTTATTTATATAACAAATTTGAAAATATGCATACTCTGACCCAGAAATTCCATTTCCAGGGCTCCGTCCTCTAGAAAGACTCACACACATGCAGAAGAATACGGGGATGAGGATGTCTAGAGCAGCTTTACTTACAAGGGTTCCAAATGACCCAAATGTCCATTAGTAAAGGCAAGCCCTCATTTTGACGTGTTTGTGCTCAGAGGTACTATGAATTGGACAAAAAAATATATTAGATCTAAAGGTAATCATAGAAAAAAGTATCTGATCTATAGCAAGTGGTGGCAGGGGGTGAGGGGGGCAGCAAATTGCAGAGAAATGACTCCTAAAGGCCTAAAACAATATAGACCAAACTGTGTGTAAGGGTGGGGTTGGTTATTCTTTCTGGAGGTACATCCGTGTCATTTGAATTGTTGCACTGAATTTTTTTTTTTTTTTAAGATTTTATTTATTTATTTGTCAGAGAGAGAGAGGGAGAGAGAGCAAGCACAGGCAGACAGAATGGCAGGCAGAGGCCGAGGGAGAAGCAGGCTCCCTGATGAGCAAGGAGCCCGGTGTGGGACTCGATCCCAGGACGCTGGGATCACGACCTGAGCCGAAGGCAGCTGCCCAACCAACTGAGCCACCCAGGCGTCCCTGAATTTTTTTTTTAAAAAAGAAAACCAGGGCGCCTGGGTGGTTCAATGGGTTAAGCCTCTGACTGAGGCTCAGGTCATGATCTCAGGGTCCTGGGATCGAGCCCCTCATTGGGCTCTCTGCTCGGCAGGGGGCCTGCTTCCCCATCTCTCTCTGCCTGCCTCTCTGCCTACTTTTGATA